TGCTACTTCCTCAGTCAGGGCGAGGTTGGGGAATGGACCAACCCAGTCTTGTAACAACATTCTACACTTTGAAGGTGCAAAAACATACCGAACATATCGAACACCACTTTCTGTTGTGAACTCCGGTGAAAAAGAGCCGTAAGCTCGGACTCGGCTTCGGCTATTATTGTAGAGATATTGTAATATTTAAATAAACTCCTCGGGCACATCCTTCAGGGAAAGGCAGGGCCAGAGTTTAGAGTGGTCGATTGAATCGAAAGCCGGTTTTAGGTCGAGGCAGATGGAAATGGTGGATCTACGAAATGAATGTCTGTGTTCTAGGATTTGACGAATCGTGAGGATGTGGTCGATACAACCTCGACCAGGGTACGTGAGTAGCGTCACTACCGTACGATAGCTGCAGTCTGCGCTTGACCTTTTACAGCGGCGGGGAACGTCCCCAGTCTGATAAGGTCGGATTGGGTTGGAATGTATAGCAGAGTATCTCCCCTCCTGAGGAACGGATACTAGAGAGAGTCAAAAGTGAACCGATTTTGGGAGCCGGCTTGAACCAAAAATGGGCTATAAGGGAAGAGGTTCGTTGACCACCTGCCTGACAGGAGAAGAACAAGGCATTGTGACATAAAAAGGTCCAGTAACACATGAGTATAACAAGCATCTAAATTGATGGATTTTTGGACAGTACAGTTGAATAATCAAACACCTAGTCTCCTGTATGTGTGCTGAAGTAGCTCAGGTCCTCTACTTTCTCTATAATCTGTGCCTTCACGTTTGAGCAATTAGTCAACGCATTCTAAACTTATTTCATNTCATTGTATTGATAGAGCAAAACAGATTGGATGCAAAAACTATCAGGTAGTACTACGATTGTTCCCCAGGAGGATCATTAACATTTCATTGGCAAGAATTTATTTATATGATGTGATATTCATTATCACAGTTTTCATTTGGAAGTAGGCTTCAGGTATCTTCATTTTTAGCCCTCTTCGTCATCGTCATCTTCATCTTCGCTGTCTTCATCCTCATTTTCATCCTCCTCCTCATCTTCGTCACCACCCGGACCGGCATCTTCCTTGTCATCCCAGGGCCATTTTCCGGTCAACATATATCGTTTCCAATCCGGCATCCAACCCATCGCACCGGTTACCTCATCCAAATCGAAAAAATCCAATTGTTTGAAGAAGAAGCACATCGCATCCCCGTTCAGTTTGTGAAACGCTCCACGATCTCGGCAAGTCACAGCACGATAAATCTCCACCGGACAGATGAGACAATAGTAAGTGAAAAATTCACACATTGGTCGTGGTGCAGGAAATCCGGGCAGGACCATACGAATCACGCATTCGAATAGACACGAATGATAGGGTTTCACGTACTGGACAAGCCATTCATCCAACCAGATCACAAAACGCCATAATCCCAACAGTGTGCAACCACACATTGATCGGTCGGTGGTGGCTCGGAATCAGTTATTTGGTTCGACTAGGTTGCATCGGGCCCGAAAATTCTTATCTACGCCACGTGTTTGTCTAACTCATTAATACCCATCGCAAGTGTCGATGTCATTTGGATCTTGATCGATTAGCTTCACTAGAGTGACCTTGAGTGGCACAAGACACGTGTCATGCGACGGGAATACCCCATTATTGAGAGGATTGCTGAAAGGTGATTGGTCAGTGAATTCAAGATAAAACAAAAAATGCAATCCGAACTAAACTGTGACTGAAAGGGCATATCATTAATCTGGGGCAAAAATCGGATTGTACAGAGTTATCTGACTACCAGATTTTATGAGCTACTTGAATTGGCGTCTCACAGCTGATTCATAAACATAAAACTATTAGTGAACACCAAAGAAATCATCCGCAGATGGTGTCATTTGTCCTTATAACAACAATTGGTTGGAAGTAAAACACAACGTGAGACCAAAACCGAATAGGGCGATTCTAACCGAATATGATCGGACAGGTAATTTCCTTGTAATGCGTACTATCCCAGTAGTGATTGAATGGATTAAAATGACTCAATTATTATTCAATCTTGTGATATGCATTATTCTGAAGAAACGACTGTATACATAACTCATCTGCATTATCCTTAATTTTGGGTAGTGAAGTAGCCCAATAGTTTGAGTTGGATTTTCTGCTGTTTGAGTACCAGCGAGAAAATGCCCCGACAAAAGCTCGTCAATTGACGGTTAAGCGGTTAAAATCACCAACTTATTTCCCAGGAGAAAGTGGGTTCAAATACGACCACTGCCATCCAACTCTTCCCTGTCTATATGTGTCTCCAGGTCGCAACCATTATTTGTCGTGTCTCTTCTATTCTTGTGAATGAGTTAGCTTTAAAGCTTTCAGAGTATCATGTAGCTTCCTGTGTGAAATATGCTGATAGGATTCTCGCAGATCCTGACTACCCATTGCACGCATAACTGACACGTTGTAGTTATCATCATTCAACGCGCTCCCGAATCCGCCAAATCTCATCTCGAATTAACGCTTATGTATGTACATTGTGACGGTTAGCGAGTATCATTTTTTACCTGAAACGTGGGCTCCAGCGCTTGCAAACGTTATACACAATACACAATATCTGAAGTCCACCCTCGTTCCTGAGATTTGCTGTAGAAGTAAAATATAATATTATTGTGATTATTATAGTTATCTGATACCGGTTAACCGATACATGCAAAGTGTGTCGAATGCCTACTTCAAAATAACGAGGGAAAATTGATACAATCTGGTGCTATGTGAAAGATGATCTCACTAGTGCCTGTTCTAAATGTGACTGCTGCCAGTGTCTGTACAGAACTAAAACAGCCCACACTCCTGACGATTCGATCAGGTTAAAAAATCATAATTGCCCAGGTTCGACTTTGATCATCCCCGAACGAAACCGGCAGTAGATATAAATCAAACTGTGCAATATTAGGTGTGAATCATTACAGGTTTGGTCCAACGGGGAAAAAGATAGCTTGTCGTAAACCGAAAGATATCACAGGAAACCGGATTTCTCTCTCTCTTCGGTTTATTGTGTTTTATAAAGAGAAAAAGTCCACACATGTTAGAAGTGGATATATCCTGTGAATATTTCTGAGTCATGAAAGTGCATGGTCAGAGGTTCCATTGAATGATTCATGCACAAAGTGTTAGATATTATATAGGGATTTTAATGTGTTTAAGATTGGAATTTGCATTCTGTCAAGGGTCGTGCACATGAAACCGGGGTTGGAGTTTGGGATGACAACATGAGCGTGGTCAAGGATAAAAGTGCATAAACCTCGAAGACACTCGAATTCTGTGTAATCGCGTTGGCAGTTTACCCTTTCCAGGCAGTTGCAGTGTGAGTGGGTAAGCTGTCTTTTGTTGGAACACATATCTGATTGGTTACTGCTTCGGCGTTGACTGGTGTTTGAAGTAGAAGTGTTTTCAAGAGGGATAGGGTGAGGGTCTCGGTAACTGATGAATCCTCAATCGGAATCCATTTGATGAACTAACTTTATGAGGTAGACAGTCACCTATAAAGTTACTGTTATAACTAACGTACGCAACTTTCTTTAACCTTTTGATGCAGTCATTTTGCTTTGAATTCAATGCATGCTGCGTTAAAAATGGTGCAAATACGTTCTGCAACTATAGGTTTGGTCAGCGCAGACAACCGGTCTTTCGTGAATGTTTTGTTAATTAATGAATCTGATTAAGAAATCAAATCTCTCAAAACCAGTAATACTTCAACAACAAAAAACGACTGATAGTCACAGTTATGAAGTGCCACAAATCTAATAAAAACCTCCTGTGTTCGCGGCAACAAAGTCTACCTTCCTTCAAGTTGATTGACTAATACCGGTAGTCATTGAATTGCGTTATGTAACTGCCCACTAAATTTCAAAACACTCTAACCTGTGCAGTGCAGCCCCTTTTGGCTTGCATATTCTTGTTGGAATCATCAACGTACCTGCAAAAGCCCAGTGATGTCCGTAGGGGCGTTCCCAAAAGTGATCAATAATTCGTAGATGTTTCACAAATGTATAGCGTACGACCCGCTGGCAAAAGTAAGAAAGAAATTCCAGAAACGTTTTGTACTCAACATAGTTTTCGATTATACATTCATTTACACGCGTTACACGAATCTCCCCGTTCTCCTTGAAGCGGTCAGGTTGTTTTGGATGAATTTCGCTCTGTTACTAAAAACATGAGACTTATGATCAAAGCCAAAAATTGCCTGATTACATCCAATACCTTTTGTGATTATTCTATTTCACCTGTTTGTCGAGCTCGGCGGTAAGGTGAAGTGGCCACATTAACGATGGCTCCTCAGATGGTGGTGGTGAAACGTTTGCAAACATACTGCCGGGCTCAGCACACGCACGAAATGGAACTCACTTCACCCGAGCTACAAAACCGATCCTCAATGTGTCTGTGGTGATTTTAACTTAGAGATGATTGTGTTACCTACTTCTTCATTCCTTTTCCTTCATTCATGTAAAACGTTGCGCCTGCTTACACTGTCATTTATATCGAATGTCGGTTTCACGAAAAGCAAGCTGTTGGTTTTGTTTGTTACACTCACGTCACTACATTTTCTTGCTTTTCAAAATGTTATTCTCCGAGTCCCGTTTATCTCTTTTAGTAAATTCATCGCGATCCAAAAACGGGTAAATGGTGGTTTATAGTTAACTCGAACATAGTTGTGAGGTAATATTGCAAATTTAATTCAGGAAATGCATCCTTAGAACCTGATTAAGTGAGAAGAATTCAGCTGGAATTAACAAAGAGTGTTTTGTTGAACTTCTGTTAAGTCAAACAAATTGAAAGAATGCCATTGAAGATGCTATTTGAACAGACTTGTTGCCTGGATTTCATTGAGCCTCCACGTCTAGCGACTGACGGAGGGATAATACACTCACAGGTTTTCCGTGCCAGAGATTAGAGGTACTCCCATCCCAGATAGATCGTTGGTTATGCACTAACGCGGATTTATATATAATACTTTTAGTGCTTCCGGAGGATATGTTTGACTCGATTAACAAAGGACTCTATGTGAGAACGAACTTAGCGGAGTGTTCAATCTATATCGGTTTGAAATTAATTTATCCGGTAATGTGTTCTTAATTAGTAACTGTAATAAAAATCCACTGAAAATCACGTTGAAGCTGTTTATTTCTAGACTAGACTCATCAACAATACCTGTCCAGGCGATCTGAACGTGTATTTCGTCCTCGGCACAAGCGCCGCGTTCTATGGTCCTCATCAGGAATTATTGGTTATGAAAAAATGTACATCTGGTTTGATTTAAATGAGGTGGAAATGATAACCGAAAAAGAGCACTGGACAGCTGTTTTGCCCAGTTTAGGACTCGTCAGCAGTGCGTACTTTTTATGTCCCTGTCAGCACTCGAACCGCAAACACTTGGGTCGGGACTTCAAACCCTTACACGGTCGACGGTTATCACCTTGTGCGAATGGCCTAATCAACAGTGCCTGGTGTCTGTGAAAAACCAAATGGGCTAAGCCAAACATTTACCATCTAAATCTGGTGTGATCAATTAATTCTCTGAAGATCTTCCAAAATATGTCCATAAATATTTTTGGGGGGAAGGGATGGAGAAAATAGTACTTACTGAACCGTTCTTCGGGCATTTTCCTTGTATAAACATCAACAGTCTGTCAATGAATGTAATCGAATGGTTTTGCATATGGCGCTCTAGTTTAATTCAATTACTCATTATGGAGATATTCAGCAAAACGTGTTTACAAATCTTTTCTTATATCTGAGTCTACCCTATTTTTATCCCCAATTTACCAAATAATATCATATTCACCTGGCTTCTTCTCGCAAATGTTCCCAAAAAGTGATAAAACCTTTACTTTTGGATGATATTATTACTATAACACTTTGTATTGTTTATTTCAGTCCAAAGAGGTCAAACTACGTGTTAGTTAGTTGGCAGAATCTGCCGGTAGATATAAACAGCTTTTACGTTCATCAATACATGAAGACGGTTCTACAGATTTTTCTCATTCACAGATCATCAGGGTTTGATAGCGTAACGTGGAAAAAAATTTAGAATTGTGAACAATTGGTGAACGTTTGTCTACGTCAGAGTAATTTTCGTGAAAATACCAGACGCTCGAGCATGTAGATATGACGATCCGGTTGCTCGAATCTGGTGGGAAAAATTGCTCAAGTGTCAGTGACGAATACTGGCAGGAGAATACAGTGTTTTGATGGATTGTCTTTCTTGATGAAAATAGTTGGGACTCTGCCGGACAAAGGGGATAGTTCAACTGGTGACCCACTAGTATAGTGATTATTATTTGCATAAAAAATCGATCAGTGACTGGAGGGATAGTCTGACAAGCACACGACATTCCCGTAGGTATACTAAACTGTAACCAGTACCGCAACATCATTTTGGCTGCTTGTGACAACAACAGAGTGACAGAAACAGCAGCGTTTAGACAAAAAGAACTCAATTCGAATGATTTATCGGCCGTGATAATTACGAATACATCAGTAGAAGTTTGCAATCGACATTGTCCCTCCGTCCCTCCCTCCCTGATGCTCCGTCACGTATCCATTCCAAATTCATGATCCACTCGAACTGTACAAATCAGGTGACTTGTAAGGCACGCACATTTTGATACGNNCAGTAGTAGCAGTAGCAGTAGCATATCAGACGAGTTCGAGCCAATGTGCACTCAATTGTGCATTCATTACGGCACGCACACACTGATTGATCGTTGATTGGTGCAAGCTTTATGCGTGCGTGTGTGTCCGTGTGTGTACTGGAGCATAATGTCGATTGCACCGTGGAGAGTTTGAAACAGAAGCACAATTTGTCCGACATAGTTGTACACTGCTCTGTACACTGTTCTCTCCGATCGTNGTCAGCAACAAAAATGTATGGGAGGCGGTAAATTTGTGAAAATGCTCCTTTCAGATCAGTATACCTCTTGTGCACTGAAGTCCTAATTCTCTTATGTTCCATGCCCGTGTGTAATTGCTTCATCATCATCATCATCCCCAGTCAATATGGCTGTGGCTAATGCATCTTCGCTGGCGGACTGTGAACGGAACGCGTTGCTTGTGTTTGGCTCTAGCACAGCCATTCTACTCACCGGTGCTTTGTTCATTATTTTGGGCCGCTTTATAACATTGCATCAGAAACAGGGGGACTCGGATGAGGACAGTTTGCATGAATTGATCCGGTCCAGACAAATGGGCTGGTTTCCTAAACAGGCTGAACGACTATTGTCAGGGAAACCACTCTGTGGGAAAGTTTTGGTGAGTTACTCCTTGTCGTTCTTGGGGGTATTAATAGTCACACACACACACACACTGACCGGATAGAATACAACCTGATGTATTGCTCTGCGCCTCCGTCCCCTATTTCAGATTCTCACTCGTTCGGTGCTGTATGCTGTGTGCGCGATCATATATGTGATAAACACGTACAGGTTTGTGTCCAATAGTCCCAGCCGTTCCTGATCTCAACCCTAGTTTCGATAAACATCTTTGTCTGCACATGCGAATGCAACCGCAATACGTGATTGAACTGGGGAGTAATTTATTTTTTCTATTCCTATTCATGCTCAAGGTGAGTCACTTTCGTCTGATCCAAATCAACACGATCCGGACTGCAATGTCCCTATCGGTCAAGATAAGGAATCACTCTCATCGTCCGGACTGTTCTCACTTTTTACTCTCACGTTCCAGATTACCGCCTCCAAGAATTTGCTCAAAACCTGGTTCAGTTTAGAATCATTGATCGATTGTTACACTATTTTTCCGATAATGTTCGCCATAGTATTTGGAAGATATCATTATAGTAAGTATGCTTGTTTCATTATTTGTTTCTTTTTCCCAATTTTTTAGCTTCTAAATCATTATTGGTTCCTTTGGACATCCTCGCATAGCGTGAAACCGATAGTGTGAATTGTAGAACTTGCGTGTGTTTGTGTATTTGTGGCATTGAGGGTGTCAGAGAATGGGAATCAGAATTTAAACACACAGTCAAGTCACGTGTTTGAATGGCATTTCCCGACAATAAAATAAAACAAAAGTTGCGATTAAATAAATAAAATATAGAATGATGTAGTATATCAGTTTTTGTGTTTCCTTCGGACTCATTTTTCTCTTTGATTTTCTAATTTTTATCCCAGACGAATCAAAAGAAAGATTCTTTGCGTTTTTGAGTCCATTTAAAGTTGTAGTAAACGAAAATCTGCTTTATTGAAGCGTAATACCAATAGGATACTAATATCCTACCGCAATTTATCTGTTGCATCCGGCAAATTAGTATTTATGCTCATAATTTATATTATTTCTTTTTATTTGATGTAAAGATATACTGCTGGACATTAATAAAGTGAAAATTTTTGTCTAAAATCGTCATGTTTATCGCATGCTAGAATCATGTTAAACGGGGATTTGCTCCAATCCATGATATCGGTCTAGTATGTTTAACACACAGACCTGTTGGTTTATACTTTATTAAGGATCTCAAATGGCATCGGTATCTCCAAAATGATCATTCCATTAGCTACAAGTTAGGATCTCCGTTGAAAAAAGCAGTGATTAAAAGTTATACGTCGCCACTACAAATCGTTGGATGGCTGGTTGCCGGCAGAGGTGGAACTAAGTTTTGGATCTGGGCGGTTTGACCGTTTGAGGGAGTCTCGGAGGCGCTGATGCAACACAAAAGCAGCATGATAAGGTTAGCTAAACTTCATAATTCAGTGGTGAGCGGTGAAGAAAACTCATTAATAAATCAAATCACCATTTTTCAACTTGTTTTTGAAGACCAAAATATACTAATAAGGAGTAAGAACTAACCACATATCACTCGATGATTGTACGTATGATTTAAGAGCAGACACAGGTTCGCATTGACAAACTTAGAGAAGTTAATCGAGGCGGTTGAATTTGATCCTACCGGTTTCATTAGCTCTCAGTATAATTACAATTTTATTGTTATTATTTATCTCTTCAATAGATGTAGTAAAATAGTAGCACAAACTACAAACGTTCAGTATGCACATTGTATCATTCCTTTTGTACATCCCCCCTTTTCTCAACAGACTTTGGTTTTCTCTATTTCACAAAAATTAACAAAATCACCGAGGCTATCGTGTTACTCAGTCTGGTTGATCAGGAACGGAGCATTAGAAAACTCAAATTGATCTCACAATTGTTAGCTGCTTGGTTCACATTTGCTGGAATTATCCTACTGGTAAGTTACACCTTTTGATGTGCCATTGGATTGTTGTACTCCGAATCCGCTGTAAAAGTTGTGCATTTATTTCCGACGGATGCGGCTATGCGGATTTGTTGCAGATACACCGTAATCAAACTAGAGATATTTTAATCGGCTGCTACTGTCGTCGTCGTTGTCGTCCAAACTGGTCCGTTTGGGAGGTAGCCGGAATGTTGAGTTTCAGCTATCTCACGTCTACGGAATGCTAGCTGCTCGTTTGTTTCTTTCTCCATCGAGAAAGTCACCTGCGTTCCAAGATAAACATCCTTATAGTTATTCAGATACTGACGCTATTATCAATGAGGCACGGAATATCATAACCATACAACTTGTAGAAAATAACCCGTGATTGTTTGTGCTTCTCATGTGAATACTATCCACGTGATGATGAACAGTGAGTGGATCAGAAGAAGACTCTGCTGTGACTCTTTTTGTAGTTTTCTAGTGCTGGCTGGACGAGTCCCATTGACGTAAGGTGCAGCTTAGGACAGGGTTAAATAAGATTACTCTGAACAAAGAATCTTTTTTGCAATAGTTTGTTAGCATTTTGTATGTATTTTGTGTGTTCAAAGATGCTTGTTAGCCCGCGAATTTGTTTATCTCTTCTATAGTTACAACAATAAGTTCTTTAATCCACTCACAGATGTCGTGCTAATCCAACGGCTACTTCGTTGTGTGCGCACTGAAATCACCTCTCACATAAGCGTGCAGAAACTTAGCAGCTCTTGAAGATAAATGATTAGGATTTCGATTTCACAATTTTATGCATTATATATTTGGTCATTCTCGGGTTTTGGCAATGGGCGTGTTTGGAGAAAGAGACTTTGCATCTCTCAAAACCTTGCATATTGCTTTAACACTTCGACCTCAAAATCCTTTCCGTGAGCACTGATAAACAGAGTCTGGTTGATGAGTTTTCTTCTCAAATGTTCTAGGAGCGGTAGCAGGCTCTTGGTTATAGTTTGATAGAGGCTTTACGCATATTGAAATGGAAGTGGGGGATTTTCTACTATCTAGACTCGGAATGGTCTTACTGATAAGTCAGATCTACCGCAACCGGATGTTTAGACTTCGGGGTGCTTTCAACAGCTTTTTTTCTATCTGTTCTGCTCTACCTTCCTCCTCAGTGATTCCCTCAAATTTCCAAAATTCCTCGTGCATCACTTTTTCAACGTGGTCTGNTGTATCGCAAATTGCTATTCCAGGATTTTTGTATTCCATCATGACAAGTTCTTCAATCTTTCCCAAAGTTGCACGGTCAGTACCTCATTTGTCATTGGATCATCCCTCACGCCCTCACTAGGTTCCAATTCACGTCTTCCCTAGTGAATAATGCCAGCGGGAACCGATCTGATATTTAGGTATAAATATTTTCGAATTCTAAGTGAAGCTAAGTGAAGCATTTCAAGCAACGTCCTATCCAATTTTACTAATATGTTCAGAATCGGATTGAAACTCACTATCATATTTCTATGGGTCTATTAACTTTTGCCGTGTTCTGCGCGTCTGTTCTACCCTCCGGTTGATTTCAATCCACTGCTAAAATCCCTATTGCAAACGTCGATGTTTTCTCGGACGACAATGTCTAAGTAGCAATTCGGTCCAGTCCTTCAAAACAAGTGCTGTGAATTTGTTCATTTCACTGGACTCTTGACGGAACAATACAATTTCGACTTTTTCTCGAGAATGTAGTGAGTAGGTTTTAGGAGACTGCACAAACTCGAGAGCATTCCACAATACAAGGAACACAATTTGGGTGCAACAACCCACTCTGTCTCCTGAAACCCAATGTGTCCCTGTAGAGCTCCATTCGCACGACAGGGTCTTCGGATTATTTCAGTTATCCAAAAGTTCCGTTGTCAAACGTGTAGCGAGAGACAAACAAAGCAGTCAACAAGCTCGCGTTCAGTGTCACATTTTCACTGGTCATGCTCACTCTGGCTACATCCGTGTGGGCGCACGTGCGCGCACACACACACACACACACGCGTGTTAGTGTCAAACGTTCAAGCGGTTGCACACGTCAGGACTGCAATTTGTCATACTTCTCCCCCCCCAGTCTGTGTTGACCATCTTGCTTAGTGCTATGCTCGGTGAATCACGGTTAGCCACTGAAAATGCCCTATTTCTTATCGATGATGTGGAAAAATAACTAACATAACGTAGCACTTTACCGCAGAAACGCGTAGAAAAGCTTTTCAGCCTCCCAACATGAATTACAACAAGGACAACCTGGCAGCTGGGGGTTTCCATTCTGATTAAGCTAATCCGTAATATCAATACAGTTTCATGTTTAGGTTCCACGACTCCCTAAAGCTGAAGTAACTCTTATCTCCCGTGTTCCACTGAACACAAACAATGCAGATAACCGAGTGACAAGAGAGTATGCATCAATTTTTCGGCATTCAACTGATGAATTCGGCCTGCTTTCTCCAGCTTGTTTCACTTGTATCCCTTTACAGTCAATCATCCCGTATCACTAACCCCGTCCCCCCCCCTCCATCCGCAGCTCGAACGCATCGGTGATTTTTGGGAACATCGCGAAATTTTACGCGATTTGGAATTTTTGGATTGCATTTATTTTTTACTCGTTACCGTGGCAACCGTTGGTTACGGGGATATTGTGTGCACCAGTTATCTAGGTCGCCTGGTTATCATATTTGTCATTGTCAGCGCATTAGTAAGTCCAAATGAATGATTTTCACTGATTATATAACGAAAAATCTGACTTGTTGTTCTCTAAGTTGATCATACAATGCGTCCCGTTTATTTTTGACTTTCGATTTTAATGTTTCACTGTGCATTTGCCCAGCCCCGAGACTATCCTGTCTAATTCAACCTTATGAATCAGAAGAGATTAATGAACTTGTCAAGGATGATCCGATGAATTGCTCGCATGCACGGTTTTCAAAGTCAGTTCTATTTGGTGTGTTATCCCATCACCCGTATTGGCGCCTGTCAACCGGGCCATAGTGTTTCAATCCGCATGGTGACTCAAACTAGAAATTGATGCGTTAGAAGCCGAATCATTGAATTGCATATCAACTGCAAAGCAGTTCTGTCACGTATAGAAACGTGCGTTCGAGCTTCATCTGATTGGAATCAGTTCAATCCGAAGTAACTGCGAAAACAAAACTGTCCCTGGTGTTAAGATGCAGACGTGAACTGCGCCACGAAGTCCCTGAAATAAGAACTGGATACTATATTTGCAATCGTATTCTTACTGCACTAGTCTGTTCTGACGAACATTAGACCAGAGAGACTTGCACATTTAGAACGGATGAACTGAATCGTCGTAGCACAGGAGCATGTCTAGCCTCCTCAGTCCCTTCCCCGTCTGGAGATGATTTGTAACGCAACGATTGCTGAAGTTTAGGGATTCTCTAAAGGTGTGTCACTCGTGGCTCAGCGTCTTACGAAGTAAACAGAATTTTGGAGACAATTTTACACATGTGTTTTGTTTCCTGAGACATGAATGGTTTAGAAATTTATACAAATGCTCATTTGATTGTGAACTCACTGTGCAGTATAGAGAGTTGATGACTTTTGCATTCACTAAATCTTGTGCAAACATTATCCATAGCCAGATAGACAAATAGATATCTGATATCCGATAAAAATAAAATCACCGTTCTGATGTGTTGCCAGTTCCTTTCGGCTGATGGAAAATAGTAATCTTTGCAAAGACGAGCCAAATCCATGCAGAGCACCGCACAAATCCGGTCGCACGTTCCTTCTGATCAATCACAACACTTCTCGCGTAATTGATTGGTCACTCAAACCCCAAAATATGTCACACTCATCACTGACGGTAGAGTATGTGTTGATATATTACGTATTCCTACACAGATGCAAACAACTATTCTACTCCCACGTTTGTTATCAACCTACATTCGACCGCACTTAGAGTTTACAACTCAAGCGGGTAATCCGTGGCTACAACGCGATCGCAACATTCTGGAGCATCCACAAAGAATGGTCACCAAAATGGTCAAGGAAATACATTTCAAAACCTATTTGGAAAAACTGGAATCATTGAGGTTGTACTCCATACAGTATCGCCGAATTTGTGGTGGACATGATTTTGGTGTATCAAATACTGCAGAACCCTGATCACCCATGTGGTTCACTGTTCGCCTTTTCACTCAATACTCACCACAGGGGCGTTCATTCAAATTAGTGCTCCAGAAATTTAGACTATAATGCCCACGTCATTCATTTTTCCTCAGAGTGTGCAGCGTTTTGGATTCCCTACCACTTGACGTTGTTTCTGCACCCACAGTTGATCCTTTTTAAGCACAAACTGGATCAAACAATGAAATGTCTTAGATTTCTACATCCATAGCAGTGCAAAAATGAAAGATAATTTGTGACATTCTTTAACTCTCTATAAACCGTAAATCGATCCCTTGGGGTGATAAAAGCAACCGCTTAAGTATTTCCCATAATAGTTTTATTTTGACCGTGCGTAAAGGGAAAACGGCAACCTTTTATTGCATACACACCTCGTTTCGAGCATATGTAGCACTAGCTTACATTATGTTCTGGTCCATAACGTAACCCCAGCCTATTTACTGATGCCTTATTTTGTAGATCAATATATATTCACCGTATTTAATAAGGGCCTGCTGTCCCGCGGTTAGCTGCAGTATACACTTCAGACAACTTACTCGTACTTAGGGATACGTTGGCCTCACGGAAGAGTCCACCGAAAATTGGAACAGAGTAGCGCTCTACGGATGAATCGGGCTTTTCCCCCCAGGAAAGCACTTCCAGCTAATACTCACGCAGATGTGCTCTAGGCTCACAAGGTGATATTTTAGTTGACGGAGGGTCAGATTCGCTCACATACCCCTGATTTCTTAAGTGAAAGAAACCAAATGATCACAACTCAACAATCATCCAATAAACCAATGTCCATCTACTTTTAAATAATCACAGATTTAGGTTATCAAAACACAGTGACATCTCTCTGTGGATGAGTTATTTCATCTCACAGATTAAAAGTTGTGGTCACGATTCAATGGGCTACTTATTGGAAGACAATTGGGGTTGCTCTCTTTGTTTCTCTTAAGCGATCAAGAACTGCAGGCAAAAAGTTGAGAAAAATCGATCGTTTGAATTCGGTTTTTGGTTAACAAAGTGCAATTCCTTGAGTTAGATGTAAACAGTAGCTATATATGAACAGACATCGCACAGCGCGTATTCAATTGGGCTGCACATAGTTCAGTAATTCGTTTGTTCTCCTTTGATCTTTATTTCGTCATCTAAACTGTTAGTTGTCCAGTCCACCAAACTTCGAAATGTAAACTTTGGATTCGCGTTTTTCCACAAATAATTTGACTGAAACATTCAAAATGAAAATGGATGCCAGTATAATCTCTTCTATTTTGTCTTCAGTAAACAGATTCCTGATCACGTTGATTGAGATTGAGGCTGTCAAGTGGCATGGAGGGGGAGGGGAGTCAGTTGACTTCGGAATTTTGCTTCAAAGTGGAAATTGTCGTGTATATGGCAAATAAAGCGTGAACTGAAAAGCCAGGATGTACTAAACAGCTGTTTCGACCTGGTTGGGTCTCATCAGCATTGCGCGAATCCATCGACCAAACTGGAAATCGAACCCGGGACCTTACAGGCAGAAAGCAAGCATGCTATCCGCTTGGTCACCGAACCGATGGTCGGACCTTTTTTCCGTTCTCCATTTACACGATATATAGCACAACCCATCTTTGCGAGTTACGTTGATGGATTCGCGCACTGCCGATGAGACTCAACCGGGTCGAAACAGCTGTACACTGCTTCCTAGCTTTTCAGTTTACTCTTCATTTGCTCTATTTGTGAGATCTGGATTAAATGTCCTCAGACCTGACTGCGATGAGCTGCAACCCACCGGGAAAGGCGTGTTATCGACCCGTTTGCCCTAGTGGTCTAGGTTGCAATAAACCAGTGGCAGTGACAATGTTGGACAGGCAGAAAAGCCCCCCCCTCCATACACACCTGCAGATGATGATGTATTTTTAACTGAACTTTCATTGGATGTGCGGCAGTTGACAGTTTTGTGTACAGATGATCCGAAATTAAAAAAAGAATTTTGATTATTATTGTTACATTTTCTACCTATCCGGTTGTTCTGTCATATTTCCGAGTTCTATATTTGTGACTTTCTTTATACATGTAACTCTACTGAGAAATGATACAAGCCGTCCAGTATTACAGTCGTTTTACCGGTTTTCACAACCCACAACTTATTTTTCCGAGCACGCAAATAAATCACTCATCTAAGGCGATCGATATGTCACTGGATTGGTTGCAAATTACATCGGGTTTTGTTCCTGCACAGCATCACACACAGACTAACCTGTACCTGCCTGTCTGCCATTTCAGATTTCCATTACCACACATATGTCCGAACTGTACGAATTATTTCGGTGCAGTAAGCAATATTCCGGCTCGTTTAATAATGAATACCATCCTCGGTAAGTCTATCCCGATTCCATAAGGTGCTAGATATAGCTCCACGATTTTTCTTTTTCAACGGAATGTTTGACTAGTCTTGCGCCATCCTGTAAATTCGATAATAACACATCGCATAATTAGCGAGAAACCAAACAGTTTTTGTCTTCAAAATCAACTTATATCATTATCCTCGGGGTACTCATTAAAATGTAGATTTGAAGTCGCCAAGGTACCAAACTCGTCACCATCAGTGAGCACAAATAATTGATAGCTTTACTGTATCAGTGCCCAGTACTGGAACAGCTCTGTTCGAATTTATAAACTAATTTTTGATACTTCGATTCTTCCTTGCCGTAGCGACTTCCATTGTACAAACTTTTCAGTGTCTTAATCTACCCAATTTTCATGAGGTGGGGGTGGAGGGGGCTTCAATGCAAGAGAATTTCCCAAAATGGGTTTGCTGCTCGCGNGAAATCGATTTCACTCTAAGAGTAGCTTCTTTCTTGACTAAGTGATTTAGGTGCCCATGCTGAACATTCAATCAAGTTGAAGACAAGGTGAAAAACGCCAAAATTCCCGCTGGCTCTTTAGTCGGCAGAGTGCCACCAACCTTTTGTATGGCTTTCTGTATAACAAAGAATCAGTAAACGAACGAACGAACACAGCATTCCAATTTGATTTGGGGTGCACTACATGACCGAATCCGTTGGACACTGTTGTGTGCACGATTTTCTTATTACATACCTTTGTGTCGTCTACATTAGATCGGGTGAACCCCATAGTTATGAATACTGGTTGTTCAGTGATTGGAACCAGTAACCTTTGCCCCGGGACTTGAAGTGGTGAGTCATATATGGCCCCACTATGTTAGGCGTGGTATGGAACCGGACCACAGGAAAAAGCTGCCTCTACCACGAAAGCTGGTTAGAGATTGTGAGTCATAGTGTCAAAAGCACAGAGACTAAGCCACTGCGCCACCACCACCCCATGTATGCGTGTGTTTATCAAGAAGTTGCGAGCACTGTTCTTTGCTCATAAAACTCAGTAGTTAATGGAGAGATGAGAGCTTTTTTAATCCCCTGTAATTCGATTGTGTTCTTCTTGATTTCCAGAAAATCATGAATGATTTGTTGACCTTTGATTGTTACCGGAATGTCAGATGTGTATATGTCCGATCCGAGCGCATGTGCTGTCACACAATGAGGAGACTCCCTGATCTAAATGTTCATCCGACATTTACTGATAACGAGTGTTATGTTGCGATCCCTTTCGTAAGAAAAATACAGAATCTCGGCAAAGTGCAGTTTGTAAGTAAACGATTGAACAATCGGTAATTTCGTATGAATATTTTTCAACCACCCTCTTTACCCAAACACAATCTCATTGATAGCCCTTCAGCACGTGTATCAGTCTGGTCAGGTTCACCAACGTTCTGTGAATTCACTTCCGAATAGCTCAACCGTTTCCTCGGAATACCTACCGCATCGGTTTGGAAACCGAGCCGGATGTGCAAATTCCATCGGTGGGGAGGGTGCAAAACTTTTATCGAGAGGTGTATATACAACGGCACAGCTAATTTCCTGAAAGTCGGTTATTGTGGTTAATTAGTTATTGTGTATAAATCAACAGAAGTGAAAACAGCATGAACTGCAATAAGGATTTTCGAGTTTTGTCAATGAACCTCGGCCACTCAGTTCACCTTTCGCTTGTATTCTGAGATGACCTAACAGGATCCAGTCACTAAAAACTGTGGGAGAGAATGAGAAGCCGGAGAAGTTAATTATAATGATGAACGTATGGGTGATGGATGGGAAGACTTGACCTGTAGAATATAAAACTCATCGCGCTGGAACCAGGAACGTCTGAGAAAGCATTGCTTATCTTATTAATCTCGAAAATTCCGCATTGTTTTTCCGATTGTCAAAATCGTGAGAGCAGTCGGAAGCACTTTTCGTCTCCCTGAAAGAGGACGGGTTGCACAACCTCAGAAATCGCATCACAGGTATGCACTGATCCATGCATATCTTGGGAGTTAGCTTCACTTTGTGTTGGTCAGTAGATTTCCGTCAGAACCTGCGTTGAAACTGCATAAAATCCTATGTTTTGTTCACTTGAAATCCCCGGTTTATACCATTTTAAAATTGATGTGCGACACCATCACTTTGAATTGAGAAAGAAACTCTGTGGTCGAATCCACTTCCGTTCAACCCATCTCCCTGATCACACATTTTTTCTACCCTCCAACTAACCACCTGTCCTCCCACTCTCCATCTGTGTTGAACTGAGGCAGACCTCAGTCGTGCTCTTTGTCGAGCTCGTTGACGGACGTGGATTCGGTGGGTCAGTGAAGCCGTGCGATTTGCGCGAGACAGCTAGGCTGGACCGGACTCTATAAGCATGAATGGTGAAGCACTGTTTCCTGCGCGCTACAGTTGTTAGAAAAAGGAGCGCTTTTAGATGAAGAACATCGGTAAATAATAAAACGTCAGAGCGGACAACGTATCTCCGTACATACTCCCGGTTAGCAATCAGCTTGAGCGAACATGTAACATGATCACTGTGGGCACACTGGGAAAGAATTGTGACAATCTTCCGACAGCAATACAAGCTGATAGGTCGAAATTGATCTTACAGTATGGGGTTTGATGTCAGTGGCAGTCACGTGTTAGGGATAAGACTGAAAGTCAGTCTAAATTTTACACTTTTTCTTCTTCAAAGCCTTATTCTAGACGCAGTTATCGAGAGAGAGAGAGAGAGGAAAACTTGTGGCTGAGTATCCATAAAAATGCAGGTTACATATTGTTTTGGAAGATCTTTTTTGCATCTCGTCAATCTAGTAGGACAACAGTCCTCAAATTCTTTATTTATTGCCTGTATCAAACAAAATAACGAATGAAATTCATGGATTGATTTGAGGAACTATCACTTTGATTTTTGAAATCTTCACTCAATGGCACCGTTTTCGAATTCCTCCCATCAACTCATTTGCTTACTTACTTCCCTACATACTTATTTACTTCTCCACTTGCTTACAACCGCCGATAAAAATACAAGTAGTTGTTTGAAATGATATGGAATGATTGTGGCTCGGGATAGAGGTGTTACTGTTGATGAGTGCTCCGAGCTGGAAGTGTTGTTCGCAGACGTTTCGTAGCCAAACTAGGCAACATCATCAGTTCGACTTCGGGGAAGCGCCAGTCCTCAGTGGAACGTAACTCGATCAAAATCACTTTACTGAATCCCATCGTACCCAGGGACTTGGTTTGGACAACCACTCAGCCATCCAACCATTCTGTTTCACGTGACCTCTGTCACTTCATCTTCAGTTGCAGTCATACCTATATCGGCATAACGTATCGGCTTCTGTCATATGGGATGTCCGAAAGCATTTCAAAATGGTTGGTTGGTTGGTCGATCGGTTAGTTGGTAAAAACAGTCCATCACACAGAACAATCTTAGGTCAGTCTGATAACGGAACTCCAGGATAATCAACCGCAAAATATCTTCTGACAACTAGATACATCGCTGATACACTTTTGTCGTTCAAGGCTTTGTTACGTAATCTGCGTCCCAGGTTCTTAGGTTTCAGCGAAGCGATGCCAATCAGGTTAAGTAATCCAGTCTTGTGTGTAAATATATTTCTACCGTGACTGAGAAGATAGCAAGAAATGCTAACATCTCTCGATATCAGCTTATTCTCTCTCTCTGTCTGTTCGAACGAATTGGAAACAGAAGGATCCAGTGGTTTAAACACGTGTTATCCCAAACCGTAACTCATGAGTAACTGTGAATAAAATAGAAATATATTTGAAATTATTATTTTTCTTTCTTGTGCGATTTGCAAGGTAGCTAGTCCTTAAGCCAGATTAATTGTGAATGTTCACGGTCCAATGCAGGCCTTCGGACGTTGGCAGCTCTAGGTTTGGTTAGATCTTAAAGAACGTGGATTACATGACTGATATGTGAGGCAAAATGTGGCAGCTTCTTCTGTGTATAGTAGATTACATAACCATATTTTTTTAAGCATTTTGAAGGTAGCTACGTGGTTCAGAGGTTCACATGAGATTGAATATGCACCTCTTTCGGTTAGTCTGGAATACAGATTAAGAAAACAACTACTTTAAGATTTTATTATTCGTTTGCTGTGTTCAATCTGAAGTGTTTATGAAAGATTATGGAACTAATTGTATTGAAAGAGTACTGGTCTGGGAGGGGGGAGTTGTAATTATTTGTCGGGAAGGAGGATCCAAGTAGATTGAGATGATTAATCAAAGAATAAATGCGTTGCATAATATCAATCAGTAGTCTTGGCGGGCTACAAAATCCCACCATACTGATCACATTTGTCTACAGATCAGTCGGATTGAGCGCTTAAAAATGTACACGTACACACACACACTGGCACTTTTGAATCCATGCTGGACGTATCAGTCAAATGATTTCACTGTGCCTCAGGTCTGCAAACTACTTCGGTTTGTTTGTGCTCAAGTTGATGAACGGATGATGCCAGAAGTTTGAAGAGCGGGAGGAAAAAGTGTACAAAAACATCACGGGGGCATGTGATCATTTCGCGGTCAGAATTCTTATATAGTTTAACACTACTATATTCGTCGGTCATCGATAACGAGACTATTTCTATGAAAATGGCGCGAATTATCCAAACAAAATCAGTGGATTATTGGTTTTGATCCAGCATATGACCAGCAGGAAAATTTGACTGCGCGACAGAAGAGGAAGAACAGAAATATTATCAAATTTTCGTATAAAATGTTTCGGTTCTCCTAGATGACTCAATTAAAAGTTTATGTTATGGTCTCCCATTCATTGATTTGCATAAGTAAAACAAAATAGATGACTTGTTGTTGACATTGACGGAGCTAAATACATTAAAACAGAATTGAACTCAACGGCATTTGCTATCATCCTGAGGGCAGTATTTCAGCACATACGTAGATCGATTGATTGATCACTTGTTGTTTTATTGATCCATTCATTGGTTGATTGTTCTATTGCTTTGTGTCATAATGAGAATATCTGATAGCCAGCCAGTGTATGCCTTTTAATTCTGTATTCATTTTGACCAACCCTGATAAGGCAAGCTATAAGGTCATGAGAAAAAGGTCCAGAAAAATTAGATACCATGTTTCCCCATGGATTTTTGTTGCGCAGTTCAATTGTAAGTTCATGCCCTTCAATATCACGACAAAAAGATTGCCTTGTGCGTGCATCAGGTGCCGCTATTCAAACAATCACAGTCTTGCGAAATACACCTGCCCTTGTCCAATTTCACCACAGAGTGACATTTTTGAGCTGTCCGTGTATATCCCGCAATAGTTTGTATAGTGGTTCTCTTCCTCGCTGTTTCTTTCGTCGAATATAATACATCAGACTTATGGAAACAGTCCCACCAACTACTTCATTCCATAGGAATCGTCTGAGCGAAGCGTTTGACCAAAGTATATCAGACCCGAGTGTCCGGTACAAATCTTCTAGTTTTTGTAATTTAGAAATGCTTAGAGGGTTCTGATCTGATCGAGTGGTCATTCGTGAGTAGCAGTAGTAGTAGCCGACCAAAAACAAGAAAAAATCACCGAGATATTGGGACGGGTTAGTGACAACGAGAACAACGTGTATGTGTCCCTGCGTGCATGATATCTGTCCATCAACCCGTAAATATGTAGCTTGTCATGTGAATTTTAGAGGAAACAAGTGATTTCAAAAGCACTTTAACATTTTAATATTTAAAATTTACCATTTTGTAGATAACTCTTGCAATCCATTCACCACTGCACACACTCGGTATCTGCTGACCATGTGGAAATAAGCACTGCTAATTCACCAGTCTGCCCTTATTTGAAACCAAATTCTGAGAGAATGATACTTCTCTCTATGGGCTATTCAAGATGACCTTTATTCGGATAAATTTGCATCAGTATTATCTCATGTCACTTCAGCTATATATAGAGAGCTTCAGCAACCAGTGGTTCATTCATCCTATGGCTCACGAGCACTAAATGTTGAAGTTTATTAGATAGTGTTGGTGCTAGGTGGCCAATAAGTCACCTAATGTTATCATGAATCCCCGGAATATACCAGAGGCACACATTGAAAGAAAACGCAGTTTAGCGAACAAGCTTATTTTCGGTGACTCATCAATTGGCTAATTGTCTCACATTTTATCTAACATCATTTTGTATAGAAAGAGGAAAAAAATAATGATTATTCAAATGGGGATATTTGCTGTTGTTCTTTTCTGTCTCAGTTTCACAAAACCGGATATGGCCGATCCTACAATCGGAACTTACGCTTGGTTTGTGTTACTTGTGGGATTCAGGGTGGGATTGGGAGCGGGTGGAAGATGAGGACGAGGATGGGAGGTGGAGGGCCATGGTGGACTGTTGGGCGCACAATCGGGGATTATGTAGACGAATTCCAACAGCCCCTGCGGTGGTTAGGATGCAATTTTTAATCGGCTTTGATCTGCGACCCCGAGACGATAGAGGTCGAAATGCCTCAGCCACACTCACTGTGTGATCGAACTCGATGAGATGATGAGTCACCAGAAACAAGCTTGTTCGCTAAACTGCGTTATCATGGACGGTTTTACTCCATGATCATACTCAGTTGAATTGCTATTGTATTCTAGCTCTTCATACTTTTTCAATCACATTGGAATTCAAACTAGGTAACTAAAATATACCCGCGATTTTCACATCATTTAAGCAATGAAATCACCTATACACATTTGAAGTTCTACCAATCATTGGGATGAGTGAGCGATCTCGATTGCATGAGAAAGAAGGATTGGCAACTCTTTAAACCTTACTGATCCTCTTTAATCACTAAAACACCAGCCAGTGCACATAAACTGTTAGTGATCAAACCGCGTTTCATTCCACTCTTATACCCCCACCCCGCATAGCCACGTGGTCGTTTGTGGAGAAATCAATTACGATTCGGTGTCCATATTTTTGAATGCGTTCATTCACGCGGATCGTGGTCGATATGATAAAAACATCATGATCGTATTTCTCGCAGAGTAAGTTGAAGCAACAACAGTTTGAAAAAACTAAATAATGTATTGTACACACCGAGCACGAATCGAACGATGCCATGCATGAAGATGAAGAAAGTTTGTTCTAACTGGTGATGCATATCAAGATGACAATAATTCGTCACTCGTGTACATCCACCTTTTTAGGAATTGGGGGTAAACCTCCAGCTTTGCCAACAGAATTTGTCAATAACCAGATTATTTACGCTTAATCTGTTGATAGAGCTGTGCTGTTTTCCGATCTAGGCTCCCGAGTCTCTACTTTCCTAGGGTTTTATTAAAAAGTGACGATGGAGTACCGCTAGTGACCGCACGTGTTGATGACCTAGTCGGTTGTTATTTGGAGCGTCCATAGAGTGGAGTGACTCCTATCGTATGAGCGGATACCAGTCCTGTGATTCTGGGGTTCTGAATTCTTTACAGACTTGAAAGATCTCAAGTCCATTATGCTGGTTTGTGATTTGCGACTGCGCTGGGGGGTGGGATTTGGAGGCACTAGCAGGGCGATCCATCTTTGACCAGATTGACAAGAAATAAAACGTTGAATTATCGAGACCTACTAATACAATTCAATCACCAGCGGAGCTCTTCCTTTAATCCTTCTAGCTAGCGAATTTCTCCTATTGCATACACGTT